AACTGCAGTTCAACACACAATATGACTAGAATGAGCTGCTTACTGTGCAGCTACAAAAAAGGGAAATATTGTAGATGGTGGTGCAAAGGCTCCAGTGACCATAGCCGCAGGAAGTAGGGGTGCTGGGGGTTTACCGCACCCCCTATGACTTCCCGCGGCTATGCCAGTGACCGCTTGGAAAACCCATAAATGAATAAACTTCCTGTACAGCATATTCATCTTGTTTTATAACTGCCAAATAACATCCGCAAGATGTGTGTTTTCACAAGCAACAGTAACGTTTTAATCAACTGGGTTTAGGTTGAACCATAATGACAGAGTGATACAAATGTATTTTTATTGTCAGAGGATTGTAATCAGGTATTCAATTATCAGACAATGTGTGACGGTTACATTAAAATTGAGAATTGGATGGAAAGTGGTGAAGCAGATGAAATAACAGAAAGAAATGAGACTCACCATTGTGACTGAAACTCTGAGAGGAGAACTCTAAGAAACCATTGAAACAGGAGAATCACACGCATTAAAAAAACATGAATTGGCGTGTGGGGGAGCTCAGGGAGCCGTTGGGTAGAGTGAGAGTGGGCTGTACAGAGGGGCATTGTGGGACTCAGCTGCACACTGGCACTGGTTCCAACACACATATGCAGACACACAGTCATACAAACACACATTCATACTCTGGCACACAGACTCACACTAAATATACACAATTAGAAATTGTGTTCAGAGAGATTTTGCAGATGAGCATTGCAAGTGTGAATAACACACACACACATACACATGATATTGAACAAGACATACATGCAGACAGCCACTCTCATTTGTAAAGTATAAACTATGCTGAATTCAGAATTAAGTAAATCTGCCCTCATACAGATCTCACATAACAGCTACAGATGTATCTCTCAAAAGTGAAAAGAACATTCTTTACAAAAATATAATAGTGGTAACAAGTTATTAGAATGACACACAGTTATGCTTTTGTTTTGTTTTTTTCTTTCCTGTTGTGTGTTATATCGTTTTTTTTGTAAATGGTCTCCAAAGGCTAAAATCCCCTCCCTGCCTAAAACACCTCCTTTGGACTCCTTTATTTACTTCCACCACATAGTGACATCACAACGTAACACTCACACTTCTGTTCGCTAGCTCTCCAACACATTGTTGGTGATAGGCTAAGGGGGGGACATCTCTGAGCGTTTGACCAATCACAACAGAGCAGGCCAGCTAACCAATCAGAGCAGACTGGGCTCTGGTTTCAGACAGAGGGTGAAAAGAAGTGCAGCAGCACAGGCAGTATGAGAAAAATAAAGAACTTTTTGAACATTAAACCATGGAGACATGTCGCAGTAAATACAAATATGAATATGATCACTGTAAGAGTGCATTCATGAACAACAGAATATTCTTTAAAAATCACAATAGTTGGCATTTTGCATAACCTTTTGGTACCACTTAGTTGAAGTCATCTTGGCACAGACGTTACCTAGTCATAATACTACCACATTATTCTGCGCTTTGAATTGAGCGACCTACCACCCTTTGTCAATATAATCAAATGAAGGCAGCTGGCAGGCCATGTACTGCACAAAAAAAGTATGACTGTGTTTCATAACCACTTGGTGTTCTTTTTGAATTGTAAGGATGTGATGATAAAATGAATACTCTCACTAATTGTTAACTTAAAAGTAATATCTATCAACACAAAACCATTAAATCATCAAACACTAAATACCTACTGCCACTAGATTAAATCTAGGTTACTGGAGTCTGAGTACATTTATGAGATATTGAGCTCCCAATTGGAATCATTAAAGTTTCATCAAATCTAATACAGCCTTTTAAATTAAAAGCCCTCATAGTTTGTTCCAATGGAGCCAAAGCAATCAATTTGAAGTTTAAATTGACATTTACTAAAGCAAATGACCTTTTATCTGTACTGTTTTAAAATCCTTTTTATATTCATGTTTTATACGTAAGCAAAAAAGCACAGTTTAGCATCTTACAAGAAATGTATTTCGTTTTTTTTTTGTCTGTGCGGCATAGAGTGGTGCAGTGACGCGTCCTAAAACCCGGAAGTAAGCTGCGCATGTGTGCCTTCCGGTTCCCTCGACAAAAGAGCAATGCAATTAAATCTATCGATTATAAATCTATAGATTAGATTTATGATTCGAAAATTATAAAAGTAGGGTAGACATGTGGAGATTATCCGACTGAACAAAACGTGATCCGTCTCTTAAATGTGTGTCAGCCACAGACCTTATTTCGAGCTATTTTCCAAAATCCTATGGAGAAATTGCATTGCTTTTTTGTCGAGGGAACCGGAAGGTACCCATGCGCAGCTTACTTCCGGGTTTTAGGACGCGTCACTGCACCACTCTATTTGGAATCATAGAGCAACCTTGCAGAAGCAGGGCAGCAGCAGCGTTAGCGAGGCAGAGAGAGAGATAGCAAATATTGCATCTTAAATACAGCGCCAGATTAGGGAGAAAGTGTTTGGTTGGTTATATGAGCGGGTAAGGCATATTACGTGTATATCTTTCATTGGTGCTCGAGATGACTGCCTGAACTAGCCTCGCAGGCTTCACTCCATTTGTGTGACACTGTTCCTATTAACAGTATATTTAACGGTACTTCAAATGTTTAGTGTGTCTGTTAGCCTTACTTTAAATGTAATGCACATTAATAACCTGGATGGAAACATAACACATTATACCGCTTGTATTTCAGTCTAAAATGTCGATACTAGATACTAGCGTAATTTAGGATACTACAACATGAGTCAGGAATGTTTTTATGCCATTTTTACCGACCCCTAAAATGAATACAGCAATGTTTTTGAGACAAAAAGCCCATCCAAAATGTCCACTGATGTTCCTAAGGCTATAACAGAACAGGAACAGGAATGAACAGAATTTAAAGAAAATAAATGAGGCTCATGTTTTTATATTGGCTCTTAGTTTAGGCTTTGCCTTTCTTTATACCATGTAATAGACTACAAATTAAAACCAATGATAACTAAAGCAAACGATAACAATGTTATTGTACGCACCTCATAATAAAGTCATTCGTGTTTTGAATATCATAACATTATAACTCCATGAGCTCTACTAAACCTTAATGTGGTTATCAGATTTTATGATGTTGCTTTTAGTTTCCTGTTGTTTTAATATCAGACAGCGTTGACTTTGTCTTTTGTGTGACTCTTTGACATTAGAAACTTCTAATGAATAGTTCTCCCCAGGGGGAAACAATATGCCTTTCATAAGATCACATTATGTATAGAAGATCAGTTTCTGCACGAGTGGTGTTAATTATCTTCTTGGCATTATTAGATAAAAATAAAAAAGTCTCTGCTGATAAATGTGCACACTTTGTCGACTCAGCTGAAGCAAACCGCATTTAACTGGTGTTGTTTGCACAGGCAGCATCCAAAAACTCATGTGACGCTTGAGAATGAAATAGAGCCAAGGTAATCTCCCTTTTACGTGGGCAGAGATTATTGCATTTACTAAAGTTATCTCACAACTCTACTTTATTTGTTTGAGGGGAACATTTGTCATATGTCTTAGAATTCTTAGAATTGTTTTAAATGTCTGCAAAGTGTAGCAGGAGTTTGAGGATTTTATGTTTATAAGGCCATAAATCTCTTCTAATACCAAAAGTAGCACTGGTAAAATGTTGGTGGTGTGCTAGCTAGCTAATTATTGTCAAACTAACTAAGGTGCTTGCCCCACGGGAACGCATACGGCAAAACGCATAGGATTAACGCAATCGCAATCGCAAAAAAGCTTCCGTCCACACGCAATATACACCGGATAGTGTCTGTTCACACGAGACAGCTCCGTTTAGCTCCAACCGCTGGAAAAAGCTGCAGTACATATGCTGAGCCTGTACGTGGCGCTGTAACTTCCTCCACAGAAGCAGCGAAGAAGCATGGTTGTCATGGTTCCCCTTCTGTTTATTCACCGTGGTGGGGGCCGAGGGAACCGGGCAGAGTTTTTCGCCGGTCAACGTGTGTTAAAGTTTAAATCTTCCGGACAAAATTATAAAAGTGCCGGTCAAAGGTCTTCTTTGTTATTTATTGAGCTTTAAAACAAATGAATAACGACGATATAATGATATATAATAATAAAATACACGGAGCCTGTCTCTTTTTGCTCTCTTCTGACAGCGTCAGTGTCTGTCTCATGCAGCAGCTGATCCAGTAATGAGTGACCCGGCAGTAAAAATAAACATATTTATAACTAGTTTAGGTAGTTTGAGAGGTAATTCAAATAGCTAAGGGGGATGATCTGACATGAAGTGTGTGTTTTGCTCCTCCCGCTGCATCACAGCGGGAGGAGCTGCAGGTGAGCAGAGCTGCGTGTCTCCGTCCTGTCAGATTAGACTTCACTCGCGTTTATGTCCATATCGAGAGAAAGATAAATAATCTGAATTCAGTGTGCAGTTTACTTTTGCGGGGGTGAGCAGGAGAGGTGGGGAGAGGCGGGGCTATTGCGTCATCATTATCACAAAATGATCGTATAGAGGCGATCACACAGAGCCGTATGACCCCCCAGAGCGCTCCGTTCCCAGATCTATCCACCTTTGGACCCGTTGTCGTTTGCGGGGTCCGTTTCTATCGTTTAGTTACTGCCTCGTGTGGCAAAAAGGGATATACGCAAGAGAAATATGCGGATACAACCCGTTTTCGTCCTCGTGGGGCACCAGCCTAACCATCCCATGATGTCCAGCTGAGAAATGTAGATCTCCTAAATGACATCGGATTTTAGATTTCCATTTAGTGACATGAGATAGCTTAGCTTAGCTTAGATATTTGCGATTTTACATTTCGGTATCTCTTAGTATTGCTTTCTTAGTGTTATTGCACAATTTGATACTAATATTTTCTTTTCTGGTCTAATTAGTTTTGACTTCATATTGTAACTACACTTTTATCGATGCTAGTAGGTCAATACATGAAACCAAACTAATTCCCTCCTTCCGTTCCCTCTCAGGTGGCGAAGGACGTGTCCATCCGTCTACACAAGCAGCTGGACAGCGTGGAAAAGAAGAGGAGTCGCCACGAGCAGGAGAACGAGGAGCTGCGGGTCCGCCTGCAGGACCTGGAGGTCGCCAAACAGGTCCTGCAGCAGGAGATTGAGAAGGTAGGAACCTAATCGTATAACTTTGCCATATGGAGCCAGGAGAGGCCATTCGGTGTTAAGCAGTGCGGGTTGCATCATTAAATGGGAAAAATGCTATTTGTTAGCATGACTGCTTACACATATGTGAAATATTGTTGTAGCTGAAAGGCTACTTCTTTTGTGATTGGTGCAGTTTCTTGAAGATTTCTGGGTGTTTTCTGTGATATTCCTCACAGTAAACAGCATTTACTCGCTTCGTGTGGCAGCTAGAGACATCCAATTTACTGCATTGCTATTCAGTAAACCTGCTGAAGATGATTGCTATGTTCCAAGTTTAGACAAAAGGGTGTATTTGAGTTTGAACCCTTTATATATACAGTCTATGGTTTGAACCAACCTGGACATTTCAGACTAAACATTGAGTTTCAGGCGGATCCTTATTTAGCCTGCCTGCCTTTTAGTTTTTTGAAGAAAATCAATGTTTACTGTGCACCTCAGGAGAGCCCGTCTCTGCTCTCATCTAGTGATTTCTGCCACTCTGCTGCCACTCCAGGGACTTTTTGTTTTACCAAGTGTAGCCAATAAAGCACTGCAATATAAGGAGAAAACACGATTTGATGTCAGGGCCAGCTGAAGTGAAAATAAACTAAATGGAGTTAGCGTTGCACTACCTTTTGAAAGGAAAACATTTAAAAATAAAGTGATTTTGGACCTAGCCTAGTTGAGTTACGCAAGATTGATCTCTCCACTGTTTCCCTCCTTTCAATCTTTCCAGCCCTCACTCTCTCTCTCTTACTCCTGTACTCCATTGTTTATTTTCCTCACTGTCTAATGGGCTGATGCTCCTGGCCTTGGCCCCGGACCAGGCCCCTGATGTGGGTCAGAGTTGGACGCATGGCTGGCCTGCTGGCATGAGATCTGGGTCTGTCTGCTCCTCTTTGGCCAGAGTGTGTGTTCTCTCAATACAAATGCCAGTTTGCTGTTAATGGATGGCTGGAAAAATGTCTGGGAGGGGCACTGAGTGCAACCAATGTTTGCCGAAGCAACTGTAGCTGGTTATTTTCTTGTTCACTGATTATAGTCAAATGGAGCATTTGGCAGATTTGATGAATCATTTATTTACCATTGAATATTCATTCCAAACATGACCTGTATGCATGAGATTTGCGAAGGCACAGAAAGAGTAAGATACCAGCAGATACTTCGTCCATCCACCATTGATGTTGTATTCATAGTTAAATCTCATTCTCATTGCAAATAATCCTCATTTAATTACTGTTAAATAGCTGATGCATCAACCTCAATTGAAATTCTCCCGGTTTTTAAAGTTCATTTGATATGTTTTGCGTTTGCATTGAAAGATGTTTTATTTATTTACTTAGAAACTCTGAAGTCCCCTGGAAAACATGACAATACATATGTTATGGCAATCAGTGTTGATTGAAGAGTTTGGTATGGAGGAACACCTTAAATATTACTATGATCTTCAGCAGCCACTGTAATAGGAAATAAGCCAGTAAGAAGCATAAATCACAATTGTAGAGGATTCGAAACACATTGCGATTTGGATTTGAATGTTACCGTTGCTGGCGCTAGCTTTTAGCAGTGGATCATTTTAAGCTAGGTGCTTTGATGGTCCTTAACAAACAGTTAACTCCTCTCCTTGAGTTTGTAAGTACAGGAGGGGCTTGCTTTGACTTAAATCAAAGAACCAGATATTTTATAACACAGTTGCTCATCTATTGTACTGATCACTCAGCCTTGAAGCTCTCTAGTTGTTCGCTAACTCTCCGACTAAGATGGTATAAGCTTTGTTTGGGTCTGTTGTGTTGAGTTATGCTGGCCCTTCAGAGAAGTGGATTCTTCACATAGCTGATACCATAAAGGGAAGTGTGTGTGTGTATATGTGTGTGTGTGTGTGTGTGTGTGTGTGTGTGTGTGTGTGTGTGTGTGTGTGTGTGTGTGTGTGTGTGTGTGTGTGTGTGTGTGTGTGTGTGTGTGTGTGTGTGTGTGTGTGTGTGTGCGGTCATCCACACAGGAATGTCTCACTCATCTGTGTCTCATCTTTGATCATACAATATAAATAGGAGAATTTAAAACTACCCACAAACTGGAAATACAGGAATTAGATAAAGACACGGACGGCAACATGAAAAATAAATGTGTGTCAAAAAAAGACTAATAACCAGGACAAAAAGGCAGCCAGAGAGAAAAAACACACAGACAATGAAGACTTTTGGGATTCACAGGTGTAAAGGAGGTTTGTGAATTATTGATCGTGTCCTGGTGGCGGCTGCAGGCTTCTGTCTGATATTGATATTCTTTACAAAGCAGAGCCATGCGCTGTTGAGCTAGACCTTTTTTCTGCTGCTGCAGGCCGTGATATTTGACTGGGAACTGATGACGGGTTAGTTTCTGCACACCTTACAATCTTAATGCTTTTATGCACCAAAAGTGAAAGAGGAAACAGGTCCAATTATCACAATTAGGAAATTATATAAACGTAGCAGATCGCCAGGTAGATTTTTTATCTACAAAGTAACTGATTTTGCTCATAAATTCAATGTTGGTGTGAGCATGCATCCGGTAGAAGAACAAGTTGAACAGAAATACACATTTTACTAAATGTTTTTTATTAAGTGATGAACAAAAGAGGCATCATTGTATACAAAAGATGGTTAGCGCAGCATTTCAGCCTAGCATGAAGAGCATGTTAGCATTAGCTTCAGTCTTTGTGTGTTTCTACACATGCTGCGTTCAGGCACAGAATAAAGTGTAGGGTCATCTGATTTGGCTGTTATTAGAGCCCCAACACCAAATTGACTATAGTTACAAGTGTTACAACTGATTGAAAAAGACTCAAAAAGCATAACAATGCGCTAAAAGTCTCGTTTACACAACATGGCATTTCTACAGCATGTCTTAGAAAGTTGGATTTATAAAAAATACGTAGGTGTCTTTTTTTGCCCATTGTTCCATATTGTAATGCTGTAATCTAGCTAAATGGTTATCTTAATGACATGCAATTTACACACACTGCCTTCAGTTCACAATTGTAGCTATCACTGAAGCTATGCTATTACATTACATAGTGCTATCTCAACACATTGTCTACTAGAGTATATTTAGCACACACACACACCACACACACACACACACACACACACACACACACACACCACACACAAACACACACACACACACACACACACCACACACACACACACACACACGCACGCACACACACACACAACACACACCACACACACACACACACACACACACACACACAGCGATTGTTTACTGCCCTGTGGGCAAACAGACACTCAACGCAATTAAGTGGAACAAGGAGAAGGGACATGTTCTCTCTCCTTAATTTCTCTGTCCTTTTCTCATTTTCTCCCACTCCTTCCTCACAGACCAACTCCTCCCTCCCTCCCTCCCTCCCTCTACCCATGTATTATCAACCTTCCCTCCTGCTGCTTCCACCAGAGACCCAGAGGAATGCTGATGCAGTGATTTCTTTCTCCCTCCTCTCTTTTTAAATCTCCTCGCTGCCCATCTCCTCCTCCTCCCCCTGTCCTCCCCCCTCTCATCACCCTCCCCCTCCTCCATACCAAAGCCTTTACTCCCCCTCTCACTCATACGTCTCCATTTTTGTCTTCCCCCTCCTCACTTCTCCTTCTCCACCTCTGCAGCAATGATCTCTAAAAGCATTGATCCGTTCCAGCTGTTGACCTTTGAAGAAGGCAAGGTCAGATTTGATGGAGGGATTGTGGAACGGGTTTACAGGGGAAGGTAGTAGAAATAGAGAAGGGGGGTGTATGGGGTGCGTCCTTTTCAGGTGTTTTGTCATGTGAAGGTGAAGGGGAGGATTGATTGAAGGGATGGAGGAAGAAGAGATGTTGAGGGGGGGTGGTGAAGCAGGGTTTGATGTTGAGCGGATTTGATGGATGGATCTTATACATTTCAGCAGTTATGAAAAAGGAGAAATCATCGCAGACAAAACAAACAAGAGTAAGCTGTGATTCATGGTGTGTAAACAGACAAACAATACCACAGTTTGCTCTGTGTTTCTGTTTCACTCAGGGTTCACTGAGCTGTACGTGTCCCTTTGCCTCATGAATGGATAAGTGATGGATAGAAGGAGGAGTGGGGGGGCAGAGGAGATAAGAAGGGCTGGTGTGTGCTCATGATGTGATCAGAAGCAGAATTGATGAAGGACCTTGGTGGCTGGACAGATAGGAGATCATACAATGTGTTTGAGCTGCCGCTGTGAGGTGTATCATGTATTCGTTCATGCTTAAGTCTCACATATGGATACAGACACAGTCAGAATATGTCTGCATGTTGATAGATACAATGATTATCCTCTTGTTTTGCTGAATACATACCACATTACACGCTATATGAAAATCATGACTAATTGGACACTTTACAAATGGAGTTAAACATAAATTTAGTGAAAATTTGAACATTTTATGAATATTTTGCAATAACTTAACAGTACTAGACCTGATTTAATTCAACTTAAAGGGGACCTATCATGCAAAATGCACTTTTGTACGTCTTTTATACATGAATATGTGTCCCTGGTGTGTCAGGGAACTCACCAAGTGTCAGAAAACACAACCTTCTCTCTTTTCTTCCATACCCAAATCTCTAAAACGGGGCTGCACGGAAGCTGATACAGATTTGAAATTGATCTGACGTCAGAAACTGGGAGCTCCGCCTATATGGGCAACTCTCCACCTATCAGGGGAATGGGGGGTTGGGCCACGGCCACGGCCATTGCCGCTCGAAAGCGTTGGAGACACTGTAGTACATATGCCAGGCCTGTAAGTGGCGCTGTAGTCTGCCACAAAAGCAGCGAAGAAGACTTCTCACAGAATCAGCCCTTGCAAAAACAGGGCTTGAAAAGAGCAAATAGAGCGAAATGAGGCATGGCTAAAATGCATGATCTGTTTGGTATTTTGAAGAAAAAACTTCACAGACATGTTTTATATAGGTATGGCCCTACA